CAGATATGTTTGTACGCCGACGACCAGCGTCTTTGCTTACCTTATGCGGTGTTGTGGAGAGGCCGGTGTTCTCTGCAGACTAACACCACGTCCATGAAAACCTTTTATATAGAGTCTCACAGATGGGGATGAAACTTGTGAAAAATTCTGTCCATATTTCCATACCACGGCGTCGGAGTTCTAGGTCCTTTGATGACAGCTTCGTATTGACCGCATCTGCCCCCGACATGTAACATATTGCGCTGGTTCGCACACTGTCCTCCGCGGAACATATATCGCCGTCATATATCTGCGTCTTGTTTTCTTTTAGTATGGGGTGACATACCAACTTTTACGCCCACTCGAAATGTTAAGTAAAATTGTAGTTAATTGAATAAAAATTTCCTTGGATATTATCCATCGTCTAGTAAATATAAAACGTAAAACGACGTTTCGGAGATGGGACTCTATCTCCGTCTTCAGGTTCAGGGATTAGCTCTATCTAGTGGGCCCAAGTGTGTAGGAACCTGAAGACGGAGATAGAGTCCCATCTCCGAAACGTCGTTTTACGTTTTATATTTTACTAGACGATGGATAATATCCAAGGAAATTTTTATTCAATTGACTCTTCACCATCGTCAAGAAGTTTTAAAATTGTAGTTGTTTGGATGCACGTAATAGCACGATTTAAGGAGATGATTGCTCAGTTATAGGAAATGAGCATCATGCTTTCTGATTGGTACTTTTGCAAGGATTAAAATTCGTTCTCCCCACTTCTTTCGGACGTCCTTGACTCCTTCTGTGCTGTTTATATTGTCAGAGTGAGTATGGGATTCAGGCATTCTTTCCAGCTGTTCTGGCCACTTCATTGATACTTTGTTCTTAACTATATTCACCATATATTTCCAGTAAAAGTAAAGTTTGTCCCACTATACGCCATGTAGGCGTTTGGGGGGAGTGGAGGTATAGCTCCTCTCTTCCTTGACCTCGGCACTAGATGGGGGGGAGTGGTCAGCATCACGCCCCGGCCGGCTTTACCCCCGGGGAAAGGACCCCGGTACCCATTGTAGAGGAGGCTGGGTGGGCCCCAGAGCCGGTCTGGACGCAGAGGCTAGAGGAAAAAAAATCCTCTGTCCCCGTCGGGGATCGAACCCCGGCCGTCCAGCCCGTAGCCAGTCACTATACTGACTGAGCTATCCCGGCACATCTAAAACTTTCGTACTTCTCAGAAAATGAAAGTACTCTCTCATTTCTTCATTATGCTTCATCAACAGCTTTCCGTATTAATTAATTTTGGGTAATAAATTACATATCATTATAGTAGGGGTACGTTCTGAGAATTCTGTGGCATTTTGCATGTACGCGGCTGTACTGACGTTCTTGTAAATTAAGAACCACCAGCTCCTGCTCGTTTATATCACGATCGTGTGTAATATGTCGTGCTAGCCATTAATGGTTTTAATATACTTTTTTATAAATAAAGTTTTCACGCAAACTTATTTTTACCCCCGCAGATCCATCTGCGGGCTCTGGTTCATTACACATTCAGACCACGTAGTTTACGTGGCTGAGATTTGTGTAGCTCATTTTTATACAACATACAAAAACATAGCATGAAACTTGTAGACACTCATCGTTTCGTATTCAACAGCACGGTCGAACTACTGTGTACTCGATTCTCGAGTTCGAGGTGCTGTTGAATATGCAATACTAATCGATCTCCTGTCGTTTTGTACCTGCGAGCCATCCAGTCGTTGCGACCCACGATTTGAGAGGACTTATGCAGGGCGTACGACTGTACTTGTGTGGCTGAAGGTTGTTTCTCAAGGAAGACTATGCTAACATCTGAGCTTCTGTCAAAGCGTAGGATGTGGCACTGTGAACTGTACCGTGTATGGGCCTAATCTCTTGTTAATTTGAACTTTCGAAATAATCGTAAGTCATCCAGAACGGCATTAGTAATGTCGAATACGATATTGTGGTTTTTTGTAATAAATAATACAACAGAACAGCACAGATGATGTTGTATTACAAGCTGGAACAAAACCAATGAGATTATTACCACCGACATTAATATTCAATAATTCATACATTTACATGTAGAATAAGACAGAAGGGAAAAACCTGATTTGGCTGTGTTTCGTTCACATGACAAACCTAACCTAACCTGTCTTATATTTTCATCCCAGCTGTAAATGGGGGGTTCTGCTGATATAAATTAAAATTTGTTTATCTAAGTGGACTACGGAGGCGGGCTGTGAAATTCATACGGCTACGAGTCGCCTTAACACGAGTGGAAATTCTCATACTTTTGCTCAAACAGCCCACATTTTACCTTTCAGACTTCGTAGGACTGTATTTTCTTTACCAGAAGGACGAGTGGGCACAGCCTTGGAACCTTTACAGCTGAGGGAAAAAAAAAACTATGCTCTGCCAATCAAATTTCTGTCTCTCGATTTTTTGGAAAGTTGGTGCTGAGGGTCTTAGTGTAGGGGAGAGGCAGAATTTTATCAGATTAAGGGCGGTGTATGATATGGTGTCCAACCACAATCGACAATTTCAGGCTTGATGATTGAAAAAGTCGAAAGGAGAATTAGCCAGTTGTACAAATGATAAGAATTAATTATGAAAATGTTTTACTCACTATAAATTCTTATAGATGTTACTGCTGTTGTAAACTATTAGGCTGATGTAAGTGACAGTAACGCACGTGTTCTTGGAGCTCCTGTTTTCGCTAATTTCAAGGAAACAGGACACTCGGAAGATTAGATGCAGATGGAAGAATAATATTAAAATGGATGTTATGGAATGTGCAGGAAATGTGTCGTATGTGGTGGGGGTTTTGTGAGTACTGTAATGAACCTTCGGGTTTTGCAAAAAATGTTGAGCGTACGTTCGGGTTCTCAATAAGGGTTCACCTTCTTGGAGTTAGGTTTTATTTAATTCTTTGCAATTAGCCGTACCTCAGAGATTCTGAAGTCGACTTAGAGAATGTTAACGTAACTAATACAAATTAGTGTTACGAGTATTTGGCTATAATTAATACAATTACTGTCTGCCTCCATCTTCGCGGCGTGTTCCCCACATGTCACTCCGGCACTGTGCCGAAAAAGTTTATAAGCGGATCGCGTCTTTTCGAATTTATGCCCAAATATGCTACCAACTGTCCAGATCGAGGATGTTTTCGTAGTTTTACTCAGTCATTCCAAGCGAATAATGTTTTTTTCCCCGTTATATTAACAAACTAGCAGTTCATTTTCAAGGTGTAATGTCTACTTGTAGAAATTACTGTTAGTGTAATACGTATAATTATGTTTACCTTGGTGAAAATATAATTTTATTGTTACATTTGTAGGCACAACTACGTTGAGAGTCATGGGTTTTGGTAGTCTTTTAATTTAGGCTACTTTTTCACTAAACACGTGTTTCTTGTTCCGTTAATCCCCACCAGACACTCGTTATACAATCGAGGGTCTTGTAACCTCGAGTGTACAACTGCGCAAGCCCAGAGCAAAAGAAATATTAATTGGCTGCTTCATTTTTGCCCACCGCGCAAGGAATAATAATTACCAACCTCGGTTTTATTTTTGTTGTGTCTTATTTTACCTTATTTATGTGTTGGTTTATATTATGGGAGAATGTGCAATCTGTTATGTGCCGTCTGAAGAATTGCCCAGCTTCTCTGAATTAAGCAACTCGCGACATGATGAAATGCTGGCAAGCATGGAACAGTCTTTAAAAGTAAAGTAGTGGGGAGGGTGGGTGGGGTGGGGATTTTTCAAGTCTTTGACTGTCTCTAAATCATTGAAAAACTTGCTTAAACATCACTGAAATTCTTTTGAATACATGACATTGCACTAACATGACATTCTGATCTGTTTTTGTTTTTTCCGTCCAGGAATTTCAAGTTTGAAGACTAGTTTCCGCATTCATACGCTGAGCTCCTTGTTTAATAGTCCCTTAACGAATTATGTTCAGAAGCTTGATGAATTTCCTTTACACTCTCTCAGCATGGGCCTCAAATTTAGTTGATAGCCTCATATGTAATAGTCGTCTCCATTAATATTACGTGCGGGGAAGACACGGTGAGATTTCCCTGTAGGCCTATGCGTGAGTCTATTATTTGAATGTTGTCAGAATCCGTTTAAATTTTTCATGAAGAGGGCGGCACACATCTTAATGAATTGTGAGTTACTACAAGGCACAGGAGAGTTGTTTAATATGAATGGGATCCTTAAGTAGCCCTAAAGCATTCCTCGGTTGTTGTTGATGTCGGACGTCTGAGAAGTGTCACGCTGTTTAGAATTTCTAAATTGCCTTATCTGAATAATTAAAGCCCGTTCATCCGACTGGTTTTTTAGAAATGAAGCTTCAGCGATATAGGTTAATATTGGAAATAAAAATGACGCTTAGAAATTGATTTTTAATCTATGAGTATTTTAATCTTCAAATTAAACTACTAAATATACGATATTGTAAATGCGTCATATTGTGATTATAAGTATTAAAAATATATTAAAAATTTATTGCCGTCAATCACAAATATAATATTGTTAAAGGAAGTGCAGTTCCTATGTAATCGAGTACTCGAAGGGGAACGTTAATTGATGTTTTAATCTTTTAACAATATTATATTTGTGATTGACGGCAATAAATTTTTAATATATTTTTAATACTAAATATACGTAAATGAATGGTAGCCTTCTTGGGTAGCTCACTGTCGTAAAAGAGTTAAGTCCAGTTCGCACCTTATTTATCTGAGATACATTTTAATAATATACTTTCATCTACGCCCCTGCCTCCTAATAATCTCTTTCATAGATATTTGCGAGGTCTGCTTCCCCTCTACCTTAACATGCGGTTTCGATATTTTTTATTTGATCGTCGTAATGATACTGAGTCTTGCGATATACAACTTTATATTGAAGATGTCATTGAAGAATAGCTCGGTGAAATTGACGGACAGTTATTAATATAGTAAAGTTAACTCACAGGGAAAAAAATTGTTATGACTAATAACAGGATATTACATCCTTAACATTTTAGCACGTAAAAAGTTAAATGTTTTTCGAACGGACGTAATACATAAGAGCAGAAATGTCTGACGTGGTTTTCTGGGTTGTGACGCCATGTGGTATTGTATGTGGTTACCAACATTTCGGATGAACGTATCACCTTCATGTTCAGTGTCGGGCGCCTGAAGATGGAGGTGATATCTTCCTCCGAAACGTTGGTAACCATCATCAGGGCCACAACCTAGAATCCCGTCATCGACGTATTTATCGCTACGAAACAGAATAGACGATATGTGATAAGCATTGCTCTTGTGAACACTGCAATGAAGCTTGTGGTATGAGACGGTAATTTTTTGGTCAGCTGAGAT